GGACTAAACTATTTCAGCACGCAACAAGTTGAAAATTTAGATAACATACCTAAAAAAATCTAAAGAAAACAAGTTGCATTTCTTGGCTATAAATAGAAGCTGTAATAGATGCACAGCGAATGAGATACAATCAGACAATGTCTAAATAATCCGCTTATTGTTGATTTATAGCACGACTACTGTGAACGTTTCTAATTAATCGTGTAGCCATTTGCATAGCCATAAACCCAGGTTTTTATTGTATCCATTCCAGCTATATTTTCTCGATAGCATAGCGTGATTCTACAGATTGGCACATTGTCAGGTATTAATGATCAATTTCCAATCGATTCTAATTATCTTTGCCTATGTAAATGTCAACGAATGTTCAATAAAGCTTTTAGACAACATTAAGTTCAACTTTGATATCCAGTTTTATTCATTCTTATTAGAATATAAATAATTGAAGCTGTGTTTTATAATTTTATATAATTTATATCAATATCGATTATATATCGATTAATAAACTAATTGTAGAATGCACGTCTTAGAAGCTTGAACCTGGGCATTTGCTTATCTTGTTGTTCTGTTCAAATGTGTGTATGTGTGTAACGGACGCAATAAGTGTTTATAGGCTATTGAACAGTGACATATTTATACTGATAACAGCTTTATTTTCATAGCTAGGGCGAATTTGATAACTATTCCGGCTATGATGTGGCCTCAGATATGATTATTGTACTTCAATGTATAACTCTGCGATTAGCAGTTGTTGTTAGAGTCCGATTTTCAGAATCAATCTACGCATTGGTTAATGTTGCGTTACAACATTTTCACCTATGCCACAAATCGATTAAATTGCCCAAAGAACCGAAGTCTTAACTCTCTTAACTCAGTGCCCATATGGCTGCAGAGTTTAGCTGCACCTATAAAAAAATAAAAATAAATTAACAACAAAACAACCTTATAAAGCCACTTAGCGGACTAGAATGTCGAAAAAATGTATGCTTGAGTGCTAATAATGTTCAATGAATTGTTGTACGAGTATTGAGGAACCTCTGAAGCGATAAACCAACAAAATTGTAGAAAACTATGACAGACAACGGTGACGACGAAGACTACAATAAAATGAAATAACATCATAAGTACTATATACAGATATAGATACATATTTACGAGTATGAGCCCTCCGGTAAACTGGCCAAGCGCAACGAACCTAAAGCCAACGCGCCACAAGATTATCTGAGGCAGGCAAAACCATAAACAAATAAGGAAAAAATTCAATCCGAACGTCAACATGCTTGGTAGGTGGACTACAGCCTAGCAGTTGTGGATGTGTGTGTTTGTATGTGACATTACAGCTGCGGTTCATTGACATTGAATGGGTTGGCAGGCGGGCTGACGGGCTATCGTTGGGTCTTGGGCGGTTCAGAGGGAAGTTTTCGTATAGAGCTTCAATTGGAGTCTTGTTTTGTTTTGTGCAACTGCGTTTTTAATTGTGCATGCAATGAAAGCGGCACTCAAAATGCACTTGTTAGATAGCCGAGACACAGGAGACACACACTGGGAATTACCATGCAGAAACATAATAAGGACTAGGACTAGGACTAGGACGAGGACCAGGACTAGGACTACGGACTACAGACTAGGCTATTTTGTTCAGCCTCGAGTGTTGCATGCTCACGCGTAATTTCTACGAATTCAGAGAGCATATCACAAAAGGCAAAAGACAATGCAGAGGCATGCCGCATGCGGCAACGGGGGCTTGAGGCATGGTCGTACGCGGAACCTTGAGGGTTGCATGACCTATATCACAGATTAGAGACAAGGCACAATGCTTGCCAGTGCCAGCAGCAGCAAGACTTCGAAGACGCTGACGACAACTTTCCCAGGGCATCTCACGGCACGTCGCGGTCCATATGACAAATGTTTCACATCACTGCGCTCCGACTGCAGCAATTACCTGCCTATGCAATTGTTGTTGTTATTATTATTGTTATTCTTTACATCCGTCCCGGCGTCACAGCTCAGTTGGTCGTCCGCTGCGTCTTGCTGAGCTTCAAATAATAAAAAAAAACTGCACCTCTGGTCTGTAGCTCAGAGCTGTGCTTTGTCGATACTGCATCTCCGGAGTCAGAGAACAAGTGCTTCCAGTTGCCACGGCCTGGCAGGACGTCGTTAGGGTAATCGGCCTCTCTGACTTTATGGCGCACAGCTCACCGCAGGAGTTAAAGCAATGCTAGATCTAGTTCTTCTGAGACCCAAATTTATTTTTTAGGGCTGCAGCTGATCACTCAATTAGAGTGTGAGAAATGCATTTGAAGACATGTAATTATGCGGAAATCGAAAATAGATTTCTACATGTGCGAAAATAGCTCAAAAGACTGAGAGCAAATGCATATAAAAACATCAGGAAGTATCAGTCATAAAATAATTTCAAATGTTAAGTGGGCAGACATTCACACTGGGTTCTTAAGTGGAAAAAGCTGTGCAGCTGTGCCATTGGGAAGGGCGTGTACAGAGTATATGTTACATGTAACCGAAGGTGTAAACGAAAATTAAAAAAATATATTATAAACTTTGACATATGTCAAGCCTGAGACTATACAGAGGCAAAAAAAGAGTTGATAGAGTTTCTGTGAATCTAAAATTGAAACGTTGACTATCTGACAATGTCAACGAAATTTCCTCTGGTCTTTTTGATTAATATTAATCGTATAATTACAGCTGCATTCCAAGGCTTATTAAAAATGAAGCTTCTTATGCTTGAAGCTACCTTTAATGCGTAGAGTAGAATGCGAGGGAATCACACTTTGGGTTTTTAAGGTCAAATCACGCAATCAATATACCTAGAAGCGTAACATACAGGGCTTGGGAATGAAATACGTTGTTCAAGATCAAATTTAAGCCGATTTATGAATGTCAGAAGCGCTTGACACGACTGCAGCCGATAGCTAAATGACCAACGCAAATGGATTGAAATAGACTGAAAAACAGAAAAATAAATATCTAAAAAATTAATAAACTATGTTAAATTTGTTTGTCCGCTTGATGCATTATGCAAAGCAGCATCGACTTTGAATTGGACTTGGACCCCATAGTCGGTGAAAAATTAAGCGGCTTTATCAGTGCCATCACCCGCATGCACCCAGTCGCAGTCTCGCTCTCAGTCTCAGTCGTGGCCGTGGACTCATTAATTTTTGTGGGGCTCAGCACAGTAGTCGGCATTGAATACAAAGCCAGAATGCAGAATGCCTAAATGGCTCATTAGGGTCTTAAATTAAAGCCAGTTGGGCCATGCTAACACAACTCGGTCAACTGGGCCCCAAGGGTCAAGCGAGAAGCCAAAAGAAAGCCGCAGAAGACACCGCAACAAAGACACGTCTTGCCACCAGCTACTGGACTCTACAGCTATAAGGCTTTACGGCTGACAAGATGGGGTAAGCGGGCTTAGCTCACCTAATTAGTTGCCCATTGTTGCCCAGTTGGGCAAAAAATTACTGCAATAGGTCTAGGGCCAGACAGGCGACTACCTGGCCAAAGTCTGGGTCCATATGGTTGCCCGCAAGAACCGCAAGTTTAAGCATTAAATGAGCTGAACAGAAAAAGGAAAAAACGTCATCAATTGTGACAGAAGATGCTACCCAACAAGATTTGCTAATCTGACCCTCGTAATAGACAATCGTCTGGGTTTGTTGCCGCGTCGAGTCTGGAGGGGCAAACGGGCCTCATCATGATCAACATCTTCGTTTGTTGTGCTGATTCATTTCGCTTGCCGTAAAGATTAGCTGATCATGATAAGACTGTTCTTTTGTGCAGCCGATGAGCTCATCATTATCAGCAGCAGCAGCAGACGCAACCAACCCTTTATAAATTGCAGTGGAATTTATCATAGAAAAGCCTCGTTGAAAAGCAATTCCGATGCTCGTCAGCGGGAAACTGATCTTATCCGGCTTTGTTGTGAGTGCATGTGCATCCTAATGAAAAATGGCAACAGACCCTCTGTTAATAGCCAATGATCATCGGTGTTGATTTATGTACATATTTAATATAAATTAACAGATATACGAAATTGTGAAAATTGCTTTACTTAGATTTAGTTGATCATCGTAAGGTACGACTGTCTGACATTATCTTGTCCCCTTTTTTCGACTTACATAATTACATATCCATCAATTCCAAAATTAACATCTTCTGCATGCTGTGTGCTGTATACCAATTGCTGTCTCTTACCTGACAGCAACACCAAACTTGATCTTCCACCAGGTGAATGCATAAAGAATCGACTGTTGCTTAGGCTTGTGCGCCCACAAATTGCTCTCGAGTCCCGAAATAAGATATCTGCACGTAGCTGTAATTTAAAACCCCACCAAGAAAAGAACGAAAAAATTAAAAAGAAGCAACAGCAACAAAACGAGAAATGGTCTCAGGCCCCGACACACACAGACAAACACACGCGTCTGTTATCCTACGGCAATAATTTCTTTTCTCAGCCAACAATACAAATGTAGAGATATGTCATTTGCCAGGCAAAACGAAATCGAAGAACAGAACTGAACTGAACTCAAATAAAGATCGATGCTCCATAACAGTACGACTGGGACAAGAACTGGGACTGCGACTGCGGATGGGACTGGGACTGGAACTGGGCAACATGTGCGCCGCTTTGTAACGCCAATTATGGGCCCATAATTCGAAGGCATTGTCTGGGCTACAAAAGAAGAACTGAGCGAGCATTACACGAGCTAGAAGAAGAAGAAGTTCATTTCCCAAATACACACACAGCCAGCGATGCGTAGCGAAGCGGCAAATGAGCAAAAGACGTTTGCTGAGCGCACTGAGCACATTTGAGCGCATCTTTTGCCAGGTAGCGCGCACACTGCCATACTCAGATCGTACTCTCTCTCTCTCTCTCTATATCGCGCTCTCTTGAGTGAAGTTTAACGGAGCGCGCTTGACGATCGAGCCGAGGTGCTGTCGGCTGCTCTGCGTGCTGAGCGCTAATCAGTTTATTTGCAGACGTCGCCACCGCCGGACGTGTGTGCAGCGCCGAGAGCTGAAACGAAAAAACCAAGCCAAGTTATAAATACAGACAGAGATACCGATACGCATTCAGTGAAAGTGTGCCGCAGCAAAAGATACTCTCGTAATTACGTTTGTAGATAGAACGAACCCAACGACGATATATAGATATATAAGTTAAAATGGAGGGCCTGCCACGCGCATTAAACTACGAGCTGTCGCACGATCTGCATTTTGATCATTTCGGAGGCGCCGCACAGCATATTTTAGAGAACGGCAGGAACGCGGCAGCGGACGCAGAAGCATCAACGCCCACGATCAGCACTCTGGATGCGCTGGCCAATAGCGATTTTCTGCAAAAGATCGGAGCCACCATCTTCAACTCAATACAGCTGAAGCATCACAAGCTGAACGAAGCCGCTGTCCAGAATTCCAGTGAAATCACCATGGACTTCGACTTAGCCGCCAATCATGTGGTGCTCGACAGCAGCAGCGTGGATCAGCTGCAACAGCAGCTGGAGTACGACAAGTTCATGAACGAGGTGTGGATCGGCATTGTCTTCACGCTAATCTTGATCTCAATGGTCTTCTGCATATGCTCCTGCTTCCTCTACCATCAGTTTCGCACCTGGAAACGAAATTGTAAGCATACCTACGAGAACACAAAGAGTTATAGCCCCCCTTTTAGAACAATCATTTTGATAGGAGCGCACTTACGATTAGGTCTTATCAAAAGCTGACTATTTCAGTTGAGGTTTTTCCTTCTTGTGCTGGCATTTACGATTAGCACTAAAGACGTACGGAAAGTTACATAGTCGACGTGTTCTACGTGCTAAAATATTGAGCAAAGTAGACAAGCAGCTCATGAATGAATCAGAAGTGGCAAACAATTGCAAAACAGTAATGAATGGAATTTAACTTGAAGCTAAAACGAAAGATTAAGTAATCGTAATGTTAAATTAATAACTGAGTAGGCACACTTGAATCTGAACTTTGCTGGCCTTAACCCACACTAGCCTTAGTAATTAGCTCCGAAAATTTCACAGGTGTTAATGGCAGTTTCCACAGATTTCCACCTTACCTGAGCGTCTACATTTTTTACTCGTTCTTATTGTTTACTGTTGCGACCTTCAAAAGAATTGGCACAGAACAATTCATTACCTTGCTTTCTTTTCTTTTTAAAGTCATTTCTTGGGTTTTAATTGTGAAGTTTCGCTGTGCTAGCAAAGAAATTGGAAGAATAAAAAGTTCAAGTGTCTGTTAATGAAAAGAAATTGCAGAACAAATTTATAATCAAGTTTTCTTTTTCAATTTAAAAAATGTATCTAGCTAATATATGAAGAAATTCATTAAAATAAATAAGACTAAGAGTTAGCTGAAGCAAAATAATTTTATAATAAATATAGTTAGGTAATATTTAATTAAAATGATACTTTTAATGGAGAATGGAATTTACAAATATGTAAAATAAGGTCATAACTCACAACAACACAAACTGGAAACTAAATCAGTTAACTAATCAACTACTTCTCTCTCTCTTTCTCTCACTAGATCACAACAATGCGAATAGCTCATCGCAGTGCACAATTATAGATATTGAGGCATTAAAATTGCAGCCCGAAGCGGAGGATCCAGTGCCGGAATATACTTTGGTCTCAGGCTTGCCCAGCTATGAGGCTGCTTTGGAACTGCTGCATAAAACACCTCAATCGTCGTGTTTGATTGTCTATCCAAGCGTGTTTAATGTATTCAATAAGCATGAAAGAGCCAACACAGCAACAGCCGAGGTTGAAGCTGCAACAACAGCAGCAGCAACAACGATATCGCGGCCACAGACATTGCCATTGTGTGAGGCAACAACTCCGCTGCTGCCAACAACCACGACAACAACACAAACAACAGCAGCGGCGACCACACCAACAACAGCAACATCTACACCCACATGCGAAAGTATTAAGCCAAATTTTGTGCCTAGTTACGCAGAGGTATTTGGCTTTATTACTGTCGACGAAAAGAAGAAATCAAAGACGAAAGACGACTCAGCGAAAGGCCTGGGCGATAAATGCTAACATATTGCCCTTTATGGGATGTCTAACGCCCAGATCTAGTGTTTAGACCTTAGCGATACCAACCAAAATGTGCTCTGTGATAATTGTTGCTGTTGTCCGCGATATTTTCTGATATTAAACGTACTTAGATTCAACCTAAGCGCTGTGATTATAAACAACTCGCAAGAAATGATAAGCTACCTGTACTTATAATCTACTATTAACTACGCCGATATTCTCGACGAAGATTTGTTCAATTTTGATGCTTTATTGTTATTAGTTTATAAGTAGACAACAATGTGACGCATAATAAATTAAAAAATATATTAAACAAAATCTATCAAGTGTTATATTTTCTTAGCTAGCTTCGACTGCTCATCATTTCTTGATTGGCAGCGATCTGATGCTAATAAATTGTACAAATATTTGGAAAAAATTAAGTTTCAGCTAATATTTTATAATTTTGAAACTTTGCTCAGATAACTTGGAAATATTTTGATTTAATCTAGCTATATTATATACAATCATTCACTCCAAATTTTAGTCATCATAAGCGCAGAAGAGACAACTTCACATTGCAGCGCCTATTGAACTTTCCTTAAAAACTCTTGCATCATATGACTGTCATATCTTTTAACATATTGGAGTGCGATTGAAGTTATGCAGCACTTAATTATATCAATCGATCTTAATAAATTGCTGCTGTGACAGTTTTGTTAGGCGGAATCATTTCGAGCTGGACCAAAACAGACCAAGTCTATTCCCTTTGGCAGGGCTTACCTCACCTTTTTCTACAATTTGCTATCTCGCTGTTTCATTCAAGCAAGCCTTTTACAACTAGTATTATAAATAAATTTCCAGTCTACTGTTTCGTCTATCTTCAATTGTCAAGACGCTGATAGTTTTGCATACGCATTTATTAGTGCGCTATCAATCAGTGTGGCATTAAACTTGATTCCCTCATGCTGCAGCTGAGTTGACTGACACAAACAGCAACAGCAGCAGGCGTCTCAATTGAAACCCATTCGAAGGCTTTATCAATGGCATCGCATTCCGTCAAGCGCTTTTCCGGACATTTCTTTGTTGAGCTTTATTAAGACAGCCAGATGCCAGACTAGATTGAGACAACTACCATCCAAACAGAAAGACAGCCAGACGGATGGAGACAGCTTGACTTTGACATTGCGTAAAGGACGTGCCAAGTGATAAGCTGCATGGAGCAGGGAAACAAATTTCAAATAAACTCTTGCATAGTATACTGTACGAATACCGGCAGTGCACTTGTTCAAGTCATTTGTATTGATAAGCTGGCCAGAGTCGGTCCGGTTCAGCTATGCAAATTCGCTTGCTTGTGCTCTTCTGAACCCAGCGTGGACATAAATAATGATGTGAAAATGATTTTTGAAACTGCAAATATGTGTACAACGAGTCGCACAACAAATTGCAGTCACAGGGCACAGAACGTGTCGCAAAGTGAAAAGCAACGTAAATAGATCGCTTTAATTTATCGTTTCTAAGTGGTTCGCATTTCAGCATACAAACTGCAAAAAGTTTGAGCTCAAAACCGGTTAACTATCAGCTTACAAGCTTTGTCTTTTGTTTTCCAATTGATATCACAATTTTATTGTAATATTACAAATGTATGTTAGGCACTTAGACGGAAAGAAGATCTTTAACTACTAGTCGGGGTGCCTGCTTCTACATCCTAAGATATATGAAAAAGATATTATGCATTAACTCGGAAGTTAACTTTGATCTTCTTAAAATTTTCATGGCATAAAATGTGCAATTTTCCCAAACAGACTTTACGCAGTTGTGGAGGAAATTACTTCACGTTTTTGTATCTTATACACTTAGCAAGAGTTTTTACCCACAGCTCATATAACTCATATAATCGATTTTATATTGATTATAAAAAAACTCGATTTGCACCTTATATAGAGTGACGATTGCTTAAAATGTCATGTCTGGCTTTAAAAGATTTTGAGATCACCTCATTCATATGTACTTGCAGACAGAAAGACAGTCAGACAACAACCAGACAATCAAGATCAACTCAGCTTTTGCTTCGAATGAATAGTATTTGTTCTTTATAATGTCACTCATGCTTCCTGCCGGTTTTTGCATATATATTAAGAACAATTTTATAACCTTAATGTCCAGTTTTAATGGGCTTAGGGTGTAAAATAAATCTCATAGGTACAGTGAGCATTAGTAAACAAAATGCATTCGATTGCAGTTTTAATTTATCTATTTGACTCGACGCAGAATTTATTTCGACTCTCTGGCCAATTGCAATTTCCTCGCTTATCTTTGCAATCCGTTTGCCAATTATTATTTGTTTGCTGCAGTTGGCAATACGAAATTGCTATCAAAATCCGCGCCAACGCTGGGAGTGCAGTGGGGGTGCTAGACCGGCAGGTAGGTCAGGTGAGCGCGCAAGCAAATAAAATTCCATAACTATAGAGTGGATGGTAAAAATTATTCATTTTACAACTTAACATTCATCATATTGCTCGGCTCTGAAACAAGTGCAGCAACAGCAGCTGCTCTCCCAGCAGAAGGGCGGAGCAGCCACTTGATATGCATGTGCGAAAAGGTGCCAACAGCGATTTGCATATTATTGCAGTGTGTTACAGTCGTGCAAATAATATATTTTAATTGTAATTACGATTTATGACAGCAGTAAGTTTATTTGACACTTTATGATATTTTCTATGCATTCTAAGTGGCCCCCTGGGTTGGTAAACACCACGAGCAAATGAGTCATCGTAGATGTGACTTTGGCTTTCTGTTTTTCTCTCTCTAAATATACATATATATTTTTATAATATCAAGAAGTTTCCGTTGTTGAAAAAAAAACAAAGAGCACTTGTCAAATTTGCTTAGACTTGCCGCAATGTGTGCAAATCATTTCATTACTCGACATCGCAGAAGCAAACAACGCAAAATATTCCAAATATGTTGCGCATGCGCGTGCCTAGCAAAGCGTGCTCAGACTAAGTTCCCCATCCTACTTCCATACATAATTAATCGGCGCACGTAGGCTCAACGTACCAACAGAAATGCATGATGTTTCCCCTACTCGAGCCAACAAACATGTGTCCAAAAAGCATTCTCAGTTCATTACTATGATAATCGCTATGGAATATTCTCTCTGTCAAGTTCTCTATTGAGTGCTGGTACTCTGTCTGCTAGAATAGTGTTTTGATATAGCGCTTATATCTTGGCTTATATCTTAAATAGTATAGTTTTTGTTGTTAGCGATTTTATATAGTATGGATTATATAAATATAAATATAAAATATTAGGAGTATTCTGAATTAAAACTTAAATTGAATGCGTTAGCTATAAAGTCTCCTGATTGTTTAATAGCAAATTGATAGCGTATCCATCGATTACTCTAACCTTATAGACATCTATTTTGCTCTGTGCTAGCAATTGCATTGAAAATTCTTCAACTATTTTGAACTTCTCAGTCTAATTGCTTACAAAACGAGCAAATATTTGAAGTGCGTACTTGAAATTGTTGCTAATGAGTTTTTGTTTATGCAAACTAATTGTTCCGCTAATGGCTAGCAGCGTAATAGTTGATATTAAAAAAATGTTGGGTACTGCTACATTAACACCTGAGTCACGCCCCGTAGCTGCCCAGTGTGATAGCTGCTCATATCATAATAGCATCTTAAGAGCTTCTCATTTGCATTTGCTAAGGCGCAGCTCAAAGTTTGTTGCGAATGCAACAAAACATATGTTGGAGCGACAGCATATCAAAATATTATACAACATAAACAACATAATTAGCTTACAATTCAAATAAAATGCGTATCAGAAATGCAGATGCATCTTGAAGAGGCTGCAGATGCGGACGATGATGACGGGCAGGAGATAGAAAGCGCAACCAAAGGGCAAACTATTTATTAAAAACCCATCCACGAGATGCAGATGGGGAGAAAGTTGCCTTGTGGAGCCAGACCGCCAGACAATCAGCCAGCTTAATGAAACGAACAATTTATTAATAAAATGCACATTAGCCCACGGTTTAGGCCAAACTAAAAGTTGGCTTAAGCCGCGCAACGGCAGCGGAATTTAGTTGAATGAATTTTCAATTAAGCGCCAAATTCGTTGACCAAAGCTCAGGGAATAGCTGCAGACGCCCCGCCGCCGATGTTTGAAAGTGAAAACCGGTCGAGCAACGAATCCGAATCCAAAATCGACGACGTCATACGCAATATTTGACCCACTTTTCAGTAGATGGCGAAAAAAATAAAAGCCAACAACAACAACAAATTGGCAAGCCAGTTTTTCAAACAATTTACAGACAAAATTAAATATATTTGCACATAGTATAAAAAATATATATAATTTATTGGGTCAGCAAATATGCGAGTAAGTGCAGCTGAAAATATATTTAAAAAATGAGTTAAATAAATATATATATGCAGAATAAGTTGCGCAAGAAATAAATAAATATTATTTTTAGCCAAGGCCCCAGGCCCTTAACCTCATGCAATACTGAAAACTGAATTAAATGCAATAATTATATAATTTTAGGGTTCAATTAAACAGAATATTTAAAGGCAATTGACTTGTCGTGTAGCTAAAATATTAAATATTTAAGTCCCACTTATCGTATATTCGTAGCATCTTCTTTAATCAAGGCAGTTATGAAACGTTAAAACAGTCCCGGAAGAGTTTCATGTTCGCAATTTACACATTTTATTTGTATGTGAAATCTCTTAAGCGATTTTTATTTGCTTTCGCATTAAGTGTCACAGTGCCTGAGAATGTTTACGTCTCGTGTCGGCTTTTGTTTTCCATCTTTTATCGTTCCTTTCTTTTAAGACTTGCGTTAATTGTGCTTTGAAATATTTATCTCTTTCCTTTCGACTTGAGCAATCAATCTGCTCGTCTTACATCGCATTTCTATAAATTATTGTGAAATATTTTGGCTAAATAAACGTTAAAATATGTGCAAACGCCATAAAGACGTTGCCTTTTGATTTGTTTACATTTGTAATATGCCAAGGCGAATGCGACGCTCGAATAAATATTTGAATGAATATTTATTTTATTAAAAGCTAAATAGAACTTTTCTAGCCATAACGAATCGTTTTAATGAGAGTCACGCTAAAAGCCACTTAATACATATGGATCAACACACGCCATGCGAATCCAGCAAAAAGTTATTTAATACGAAATCAATTCGAAAGGGTATCATAAACTAATATACCAATTAGTATAGCTTAATATTATAATGAGGGTGAGAGAGAGGTATAAGTAAGTAGTATGCAAGCTACT